AATGAACTTAAATGAGGCTGCTAAGCACCTCTCCTGACAAATTAGTAAGTTAAAATAAATATTTCTCCTCAAAATTACAAGACTCATCTGGTCACGTCTTCTGGCCAGGGAATGCCTGACCGAAACTGACTTCATTCACATGACAAGGACCTCCACTGGGACATGCCTGGTCGGCCATTTCCCAGAAAGCCGACAGGGTAGAGAAATGGTTCCCTGAAGTGAAAGTCCAAACCCCAATGCACAATCACTTTCTAAGCTTCTGCATATATTAAATTAACTCTCATCTAATGTACCAAATTTGTGTATGTGGACAAAACCAGAGCTGGAAAGGGAAAGAGTGACAACTACCCCTAAGGTCTGGATACTCAGTTTCTCATAAGTTTTTCAACTTGGTTTCCAATTTTTTTCATGCCAAATTTCATTTTTAATGACATATATTTGTCAATCTTTTCCTTTGCTGTAGAGTTAGGTCTTTCCTCATAGCCATGCTGTAAAAACATTTGTCATTTTTATTTGTATTGCTTTTTTCTTTCTTTCTCTCTTTCACTTTTAGATTTCCACCCAATTCATAGTTTATTATGGAATATAGTATGAGATATAGATCCAAGTTATATCTTTCCTAATTTCTTTTGGATTACTCTATATCATTTATAAGAAAAGTTGTATATCCCTCAGAGTCTTCAAACATGAACATTATCACAGACTTACTAGATTTCCCCAAGTAGCTGAGTTTGCCTCTGTCACCTTCTGTTCTCCTCCATTCAAAGTATTGCGAGTCAATATAGTAATGAGCCAACATTTTAAGGATAGAGGAAAGATAATATATTTAATTTATGTTAAGCTAGATTGTAGAGGCTCTCAGTCTGCCTTTCCACTGGTTTTACTGTGATATTCTTTCCATGATTTTCAAAAAATAATTGTACATGCTTATTCTTTCACGCTTCTGTTTCACCTAAGAAAAAAAAAGTTGCCATTTAAATAGCACTTTTTATCACGTTGAGACATCTTATTAAAGAAAGAGAAATGATATTTTTTTCTTTTAGTTTAAATTATTTCTGTATCTTTGGACATGTTTTAAGGTTATTTTATATAGATTTATAAGTTTCCTAAATTTTGCTGTAGGTAATTTGCATATTTATTGCTATTATAAATTGATACATTTATTTTATTTTTAGATGTTATGTTCCCAATATATAAAGTATACTAATTGCTGTGTATTAATATAGTATTTAGCTACATTAATATTCTATTCTATTGTTTGTGTCAAACTTCATATGGAATATTAGGTTTTGCAAGAATGGTATCATATCATCTGCAAAAAGAAATATTTTTTTTCTATGATAATGATGCCTCCTCAAGAAGCTCTAATTCCTCAAATCTAGAAATATGTTACCCTAGGGGAAAAAAGGAATTTCACAGGTATGATTAAGGTAGGGAAACTTGCAATAACAAGATTTCATATTTTTTGGTCCAAAGGAATCACAAGAGTTCTTCAAAGAGGAAAAGAGGAGGCTGTAAGTCAGAGTAGAAACATGACAACAGACACAAAGATTTAGCCAGGGCACTTTGACAGGAAGGCCCACAACAGAGGACATAGCAGCCTGTTGCAGCTAAAAAGGCAAGGAAGGATTTTCCTCTAGACCACTCAGCAGAAGAACGGCTCTGCCAATGCCTTGATTTTAGCCTAGTGTGCCCTGTGTCAGAACCTTGCAGGCTCTGATTTATTAAATGTGTGTTTTTAAGCCTCTAAATGTAAGGAAATGTGTTGTTGCAGCAATAGAAAATCTATTAATTTTAATTTTTTAATTCTTATGCATTTAATTCCTCTCTGCTATTACTTAATTGGATAGTACCTCTAAAAAAAATTAAACAGTTATGAAAATAGGGAAGCTTACCTTGTTCCTCAACTACTTGGAAGAAAGCCACTAAAAAGGATCACTTATTGGGAAGAGATGTCAGCTTATATGTATATCAGTGTGTCTAGCTTCAGGAAGGAAATCATTTACTGAAACTCTTTGATACCCTTATGACGTGGAGCTACCTCAACACACTGTAAATACCTGCTCAATAAGAACAGCGTATGTTGAACAGTGCCTGGCTGGTCTAATTCACTTGATTCTCTGGAGGAGTTTGTATTCAAAATGCAAGGCAAGAGAGCACATAACAGAGCAGCAGATAGTGAAGAAATTCATGCAGAAGATGTAATAAGCAGAGGCAGTACAGGGTGAGATGCTGTGTGAAGTCATGAGTGGATTGAGATTGTCTGAAAAGTGTTTTCTACTCTGTGTCAGTATACTCGCTGTGACATGGATTACTGTGCTTTGAAAATTTCACACTCCACTAACTTAGGTGTTCTGATCCTCTCTGAATGCGCTACTCTGGAATTTGGACAGTAAATAGTAATTGCATCAATGAATAAATGTGTCAAAATACCATAACTGATATTTATTTTTAATTTTATTTTAAATTACACAGGGGAGAATGAGGTTGAGGTCTCCAAATTTCCAATATGAAGCTGAGAAATATTCTTTCAGCCACAGAAGGAAAAGAGAGATCAAGATTGCTCTACATGAGTGCCTAAAAGAATATTTCACAATTTACCCTCCGAGATGGATGGAGGAAGGCTGTTAGGGAATGGCTGAGCACATGGTTTCCATTCTGAAGCAAGTGGTTGAACACCAGTGGCCGTTGACTCATCCAAAATTTGTAAAACTTGTGTTTCCCTTTCCTTCTCTCCTAGCTGCTTCTGTGAATTCGATATTTCTAGCGTTTCTTAACTATATTTTACATTCAATTAGGTCAAAGTAGTGAAAATCACCACAGTGTTTTCTCTCTCATTTTTCTTTTTTCTTTTATTTTTTTGCTTAGAATAAAAAGTAGAAATGTATACATGTTCAAAAGCATTGAAGATTCTGGCATATTCTCTCTGCATTTTTGAGGCTGGGGTGGAATAGTGAAGATGACACTGGAAAGAGAACCTACCCATACCCCTGGGTCGGGCCGACCTCAGAAGCCTGTGTTTAAATGATTCCCTATTGCTCCACAGGACGCAACTGGAAATGTCCCTTAATATTCCCTAATTGTAGTTTTCTTTGCTAGCCAATGTTATGGTTGTTAATTAGGTTAAGTTATGTTATGTAAGGTAAATATTTATAGAGTTATTGTAATATTAATCCATGCCCTATATTAGCATGAATTGTTTCAAAGCAACACACACATAAAAGGACATAAACATTTATATTATACGTATATTATATAAACATTTAATTATTCAAAATACAACATATAACAAATCATTCCATATGAGTTAACTTATTTTCCCAAACATAAGAACCACTGAAAATCTTGCGTGAATCCACGGAACAAATTTATATACAAATTTCAAATTCCAGAGGCATCCATGTCCCAAGTACTGTGTGAGCCGTGTTGTTGAGTACAGGGAGTAATAGCAAGGGCCTCTGGAATCATGGAGCTCCTCCCTTAGACTTCCCTCAGGCTCCAGGGAGGTAAGGGGTTCTAATCAAGTGTATCTATCATATTGAAACTAATAATGGCTAAAAATAGCAGCTCCAATTTAACGGTGTATTAATTCTGCCTCTGTAATAAGCATTAGAGCCTAAAGTGAGAAACTGTAAGAAAGTATAGCCTATTTTGTTCTTTGTACCTCGAAAGTTCATCCGTCTTTTTGTCTAAGATTCTAAATAACATTTTACTTTAAACTCAGCTTACACAGATTGTTAAAAATAACCATAGAGAAAATTAGTTTGGGAAAAAATTAGAATTTGCTCAACACATTGTTTTGGGGAGATTTGGATTTCTAAGAAGCTAATATTGCTCTCACCTGTTAAATTTATATCATAGGCAAGAAAGAGGAGGAGGAGGAGGAGGAAGAGAAAGAGGAAAGAAGAGGCAGAAGAGGAGAATGAGAGGGAGAAGAAAAAGGAGGGGAAGAGAAAGAGACAGAGGAAGGGAGGAGGAAAACAGATGAAGAAAAGGAATAAGAGGAACAGGAGGAAAAAGGAGGGAGAGAGGGGTAGGAAGAAGAGAAAGAGAAGCTCTTTGGATATAGAAAAGTTCTGTACATTTTATATTTCCATGGACACTGGAAGCAGACTGAGCTGACGAAAGCTCCCAGTCACCGCGCCGAGCAGAGCTTCTGACAAGGATTCCTGAAGTTCCCACAGAACTGTATGCTAGATGCAGTGGTCCAAGAGGAAGCAGCTCGGCAAGTCTATGTAAGGAAAGACATGATAAACAGGCAGGATGACCGGGTGTGACCACACAGGAGATGTGACGGAGCCGGAAGGTGCTGAGGTGCTAAGGCAGCGTGCAAGCAACAGACAGGGAAGCTGAACTCCCCAAAGTGAAGGAAGTCCCACTGAAGGAACTCCTAGGACACTCTTGTCAGTTTCTGGACCAGTGGTCACTCCTGGATAAGTACACTGTCATTTAGCGGATGGGGATTATTCAGGAGAAATCTGGATTATAGTTCTTCTCTGTTTTGTTTTGTTTGATACTGGGGATCAAACTTGGGACCTTGAGCTTGCAAGGCACTAAGCTAAATTTGTGGCCCTGAATTATAGTCATTCTTAAAATTGGAAAGTATTGTCTCTAAAGTTAGTATTCAGTAAGTAAGCAAGGGTCTGGATTGTGTGAGCTAATCAGAGCTATTTTAACTATCTGGTTCTTAGTTCTGTATTAAAATATAAGACAAGTGTTCAAGGACTTAAGGAAGGATAGGGTTTTTTTTTTTTTCAAGGTATCTTATTAAAAGACCCTAGAAAATCAAAAACTGGGAGGAAAAAATACTACCCAGCTGTCCGACTGATTTACAGGCAGTCCAAAAGGAAGAACCCGAAAAAAGATGTGCGTTGGGGTGAATCAATGTGTGAGAAATGCACAGTAGGAGAAAATACACAGGAATAAGAAAGAAGGCTGGATAAGTAGAGATTACTGTCCGGATGGCAACCACTCTTTAAGGATGAATAAAAGAAAATACCAGCACTTTTGTGTCCATTTTTTTGTCTGACATGAGGACTAAGACTTATGGACAGGTGCAGAAAATCCTCTTTTGCAACCCAGCACTCATTGTTCAGTGTGCGATTTGATACATGCGAGAAGGAACATTACCTCCAGGCACAGAGGTACCAGCCTATGATCTTGGCACTCCTGAGGCTGAGGCAAAAGGAATAAAGCCTGGACTGTATGGTGAGACTCCGCCTCAGAAGACAAAGCAAAAACAAAAAAAGATTATGATGCCCAACACAGATTAGAGGGATGGAGGATGTGGGTATCCATTACATTGGATTCCAAGACGAAAGAGTTAATTATAAAGCAGTGACACTGCCCCTGCCTCACAAGCACAAGGTCTGGAGTTTGATCCCTGGTATGGGAAACACCAAATCTAAAGTACAGGATATGGAGGAAAAATCTCAGCTCTATATTTTTCTATCCCATTTTTTATCTAGTGATGCACAAAAATAGCCATTTTTCTTTCTTCCGTCTTAAACATGGGGCTGGAGTTGAAGAGGTGTCACACTGTGTGTGTTTGTATCATGTTTGTTTAAATGTATTAAATAATAACATCAGGTTAAAATTAACACTGGCTTTAATGAAAGATTGTTAGCCTTCTTTAAAAAGAAAAGGAAATACTGTTATTGAGGCTGTTACTCATGCCAGGCGTTCTATTGGGCAATTTAATATATTTTAATTTAATCATTATTTTTGACCAAAATTTCTTTTGAATGTTATATATGTGCTTCTTAAAATAGATCTTATTTTTAGACAGTTTTAAAATTATAAATATTTGAGAAGGTAGTATAGAATTTCTTTACACTCCTTCCTCCTTTGGTTCTTCCCTTTTAAAGGTCTTGTATGCCTAATAATCTGAGCATCTGATTCAGAGAGGATCCAGTTAACAAATCTGATACTAGCGCCAGACGCGGTGGTGCACATTCCAGTATTCAGGAGGCTGAGGCAGGAAGATTGCTGTAAATTCAAAGCCAGCTCGGACTCCATAGTGAGTTCCAGGACAGCCTGCAGTACAAAGTGAGATAGACGCCCATTCCAAAGGGCCTACTCCTCCCTAATCAAATTAGCACTCTGCACAGGACACTAAGTGGCTATGGATCCTGGATTTCTTATCTTGACCTGGGCTCTGTTGGACTTAGTCAGAAACGTAGGCAGGTCAAGTCGTATCCAATGTAAAGTATAAATGATACACATGAAGTCAGGCCTGAGCAGGAGCAGAGATGCATGTGTAGGTAGCCCAGACCTCAATGTTACCTACCACAGTTTCACAAGGAGCCCTTGGGTCGCGTCTGTGTTCAGAGGGAGGAGGCTTGAATGATCAGCTAAAAGAGAAGCAAAGAGCCTGACCAGGGCTTATAACTCCTGCTCAGTGTCTCAGTCCAAGCCAAAAATGGCAGCTGCTTTTCAGCCATTGTCAACGGTGAACTCACAATGGGGTATGTGATCCTGTACTTTATGTAGAAGAAAAAGATAGCATGAGATAAGACATACAGGTAACAAAGAAAGGCATAGCTAGCCTATCAGATTTCTACAAAGAAAAACGTCAGAATGAAGAGGAGACAGTAAAGGTGTAAGGTAGGTGGATGACAGTAGGCACATAGTATCACATATTAATGCCCATCAGAATGCACTGCTCTGCTAATCAAGAATTATGGGAGACTCACATGAACTAAGCTCCTGAACTAGGCTCAAACAGCCACACCAAACCAAAATGAAAAAAACTCATGCAAGAAGCTAAAAATCTGAACTTCAACTGAAACTGAATCTTCAAGGTAGCAGATGATACCCTACATAGATTTATTTTTCCTGTAAACAAGAGATTACATCCTACTTGAGTTAGAGTAATAAGAAAAGTCCCCTGCTTTATTCCTTACCAAAAAGAGTAAACTGAAGTAACCTGATGTTAATCAGTCAGGTTTTCTAAATTTTTTAAATTTTTATTTATTTTTGTGGTACCAGGGATTGAACTTGGGCCCTTCTGTTTGCAAGGCAGGCAGCAGAACCACTGAGCCAAATCCCCCACCCTTCATCAGGTTTTCTATCTGTTATTTGTTTTCCTTATCCACACCTTACAAAACCATACTGCTAGTGTCCAGTGTGAACTCTCAAGAATGAAGGCTGTGCCAATTCATGAATTATGTATGAAATAAAAGCCAGTTAAATCTATAACTTAATTTGTTATAATTGTCTTTTGATACTAAGTTGAAGAGCCAAGTGGACAAAATGACATGGCCTATGTGCTATCCAGCCTGTGTCACTGGCCACCCTGAGTTAGGACACTGGGCACGTGAACAAAGTGACCGTGATGGCAGAGATGGAGGCCTCAGGAAGAGTGAAGGCCAGTCTCACTGCATCCCTCTGTCAGCTGCATTGACTGAGGAGGAAACTTCCTGGCAGAGCCATAAGACCACTTTCCTGCATAACTGAAGGTGGATAATTTAAAATCTAACTTCTCAATTTTGCTGTAGCATTTTACCACAAATTTAACAGAATAAAACTGATGTATCATCTTTAGTACTCAGGTGAGAAGCCTAAAACAGACCCTTGTGGGTTAAAATAAATAAGCCGATAAGAGCTGGGAAGAGATGATTCAGTATAACACCATATTTTTTTTTCTTATTGAGTCTGTAACAAGTTCTCATATACACAGCAGCATAAAACAATAAAAATTTATTATTTTACAAATTTTAAACTCAAGAAAACTAAATGGTTTTCCAAAGTAGCATTCAAAGTGTCATCAGATCTGTATTCCTTGTGGGGGCTCCTTAGGAGGTTTTTTTCCAGCTCTTCCTTTTCCAGCTTCTAGGCTGCCTCAATTTCTTGGCTCATGTCCTTCCATCTCCACAAAGAGCAGTATAAAATTGTCATTTCTCTTTCAGGCTTTGACTCCTCCATTTTTCTCTTTTGCTGCACAAGAAATTATACATAGACGTGTATAGAAGCTATGTGATTGCATTGGGTCCACCTAACTGATCTGGAATATCCTCTCTGTCTTAAGATTCTTAACTATTCCCATATGAAAAGTCTCTTCTACCATGTAAAATAATACATTTACAGGCTCCCAGATTTTTCTAGAGGGCAGCTATCCAAGAGAGTCACTTAAATCTGCATCCATGGAATGCATGCCTGGAAAACACTTTGTTATATTATTTGACTGAGGCTTCAAGGGCAATTATCAAGGCACAATTCAACTTCTCCTTAATTCATATAGTTAAGTGGAACACAGATCTAACCTAAGAAATTCCATTACTTGTTAATATACCTTAGACTTCTGACTCAGGTATCAGCAAAAACAGCAAAAAGTTAGATCCATATATATGCGGTCATATAGTGGAACTATAAACATATGATAAAACTATTTTCATCATATTTAATGAAATAAAGGAAAGAATATATATTGTTAAATGTGATTAACACAGTTAACTTGAAAATGACTTTAGGGAATAAAATATTATAAAAAGTGACATTGCCAATTTGAAGAATTGAATAGCAGATGTTCTAGAAATAAATATAAAGTAATCAAAATACAGACAATAATGGAGATGATAGAGGTCTGGACACAAAAGAAAAGTCTTTGAGCTGGAAAATACAGAAGAATGATAACAAATGAGGAATCAAGGAAAGAGAGGATGGGGAGAAGAGTGGATTAAAGACATGAGAAATAACCACAACAGAAACAGTGGAAGAAAACTGCAGAACACCAAAAGAAAAAAAATTAAAAACTACCAAAAACATAGATACACTGCCTTCAAAAAGGCACAACAAAAGTAAAAAGTCAATTAATTAAATTGTATCTTCAATAGGTTAAAGGATAGCATTCAACCTGCAATTTTATATCTTTCCAAATATGGCAAAATTACATTTTCAGATAAGAAACACAGCAATGCTCATTAGCAGCACTTACTAATAAAAATTCTGCATTTGCTGTATAGAGAAAATGACTCCAGATTAAGAATATTGATCATATTAAACAAAGCTGAGTCTCAAGTTATTTAAGTATTGAAATAATATATATGATATCTTCTTATAACCACTGAATTAGGCTGAATTGAAGACATTGCAATTAAATTCAAAATTAAGGAATATATTTTAAAATAACTCATTGAGCAATGCAAAAGTCATTATGGAAGCAAAGAGTATCACAAACTGAAAAATGGTGCAAATAGTTTATAGTATAATAAAATTGCTAAAGGACATTAAGCAGTACTCAGAGGGAAAAAAAATCATAGCCCTAAATGCATATCTTTAAAAATAAAATTGAAATTTAATAACTAAACCTCGATTGTAAGATATTATTAAAATGACAACAGAAAAAAGTGAAACTATGAGAAAGAAAATAAAAATTATAAGAACAGAAATTAATAAGTTAAAAATAATATTCAGAACACAGATAAACAACAAAGCCAAAAGTTGGTTCTGTAAAAGGAACAATAAAATTTGAAAACTTACATATTGAGTAAATTAAGAAGAAAATAAAGAAAATCACAACTAATATCAAGCTGGGGAAAATATTAAATAGACAATAAGGTTATTAGCTTAAAACATTTACATGTTTAAATAACTAGAAAGAATAAGAAATTCTACCTAGAAATAGCCTTATTACCATTTTTAAAAAGAATCAATTGCTAAACATCTTCTCACAAATAAAATTCCAACAACATATGGCTTCACTGACAAGATGTAATAAACAGAAGAAATCTAATCTCACACCAAATCCTTCCAGAAAAGAAAAATAATAAATAACATATCTCAACTCCGGAGGTTAGCATAACTGTGATATCATTAAAAACTATTTAAAAAAAATTAGAGGTAAACTTTACTTTTAACACATTTGCAAGACTTTAAGCCAAAGATTTCATAATACATAAAAAGAATAATATATCATGAAAATATTTTGTTTATCCTGGAACAGGATTTGGTGACATTTAAAAAATGGCTTGATATTAAAATTTAATTCACTATATGTTGGCACAAGAACAAGTTAAGGAAGGAAAAATTCTTGAGTTTATCTTGGTAAATGTAGAGAAAACTTTTAAAGAAATTGACCATCATTCATGTTAACAAGTCTTAGGAAATTAGAGAAAAAAAGAGAATTGT